GCAGGTCGAGGCTGCGGTGGCCGGAAGCGGCCACTGCACTCCAGTCTGGGTGACTGAGTGAGACTCCAACTCAAAAAATAAATAAATAAATAAGAAACAGGTAAAACAAATTTTAATAACATATTGTATTTATCCCACAGTATCTAAAATGTTATTCAGTATTAATAAATATTAAAATTATTATTAATTATCAAGAAATTATTTCACATTACTTTTTCCCAAGTCTTTGAAATCTTTGTAGTTTTGTTTTATACTTATGGTATATCTCAACTAGAAATAGCCATATTTGAAGAGTTTAATAGCTACATGTAGCTAATGACTATAGTATTAAACAGCACAGGCATAAAAAAACAAAATCTATAGTAAACTCATATGTATAAATAAAATGTAGTTTAAGGTGAGTGGTTCATTGTTTATTTTATGTTTCTGTATCTTTTTCTTTACATCCCTAAACCCTGTTTAGTATCATAAACACTCCTTTGCCCCCAATAAATACCTGGTTCCTTTTGGATCATTAGTGGCATCTTTTATAGTTTTGGCAAAGTGAATTGCCAAGGGCCTGAAGTCAAGTAATGGAGTATTAAAAGTGTCATAATCCAAATACTGTACATTTATTATTGAACTAGTAATGCCTTTCCCTTATGTGTATAGGAGATGCTTTTCTAAAGGTTTTATACACACACACACACACACACACACACACACACACACACACACTTATTTTTGTATTAATCTTAGATTTCATCTAAACCAGTTTAGTAAATATTTTAATGTGGAGTTTATATGTTAAGATCAGAGTAGATAAAAGGTGATTTTTAGCTTGGTGAGTGGCAGTGAGATATCCTGCTTTAATAAATATCATCCAGAGTCCTATAGTATGGTCTAAAACTTGGTTTCAAATAAGTTTTATAAAGTGCTTTAGTTAGGTTAAAAGTTGGTTTCAAATGAGTTTTTATATCTAACATGATGATATAGTTTGAGTTTTGAAAGTGTTACCATGGCTTAGATAGGATTTATGTAAAACACTGTTTTACCTTGGTAATTACTATTTTATTGAGGGCTACTGTTGTGCTTTTCCTGGCTCCAGTTGGCTAATTTTATTGATTCGATTTTTGTTATTTCAAATTTCTGTTACAGTTGAAATGTTTTTTTCTTTTTTCTTTTTTCTTTTTTTTTTTTTTGAGTCGGAGTCTCACTCTGTCGCCCAGACTGGAGTGCAGTGGCTGCTCCCAGCCTGCGCAACCTCGACCTGCTAGGCTCCGGCGATCCTTCCACCTCAGCCTTCCAAGCAGCTGGAACTACAAGTGTGCGCTACCACGCCCGGCTAATTTTTGATTTATTGTAGACATGATGTCTCGCCAGGTTGCCCAGGCGGGTCTCAAACCCTTGGGCTCAGGCAATCCACTCACCTCGGACTCCCAAAGGCATGGGATTACAGGCTGAGCCACCGAGCCCAGCTTGTTTTTTTCTTTTTGAGGCTATACTGTATTCCTGTATAGTATTCTAAGTATGTGATGCATTGGTCTCTCCAAAACATGAGTTGTATCAACTTTTTCCCCCATGTTTTTGTTTTATACTGATGGTGACTACAAACTGAAGTCTCTACAAACCAGGTAACAGGATAAAGGATAATGATAGATTTGCATATAGAGGTAAAGAAGATGTCAAGAGAGGGTGAGGCTAGATCAGAGTGGGCCATGTCTGCCTCTCATGCAAAAGCGAGATGATTTAGGTAGGGTGTCTGGAGATGGAGGAGAAGGAAAGGAGGCTTTCATAAGGGAGAGTGGTGCTAACTCGTTGTCCTCATTGACATATTCTAGTACTTTTACACCTTCCAGGTAGTCATCATGTTGGAATATATTTTTAACTTCCAAAATCTATTTGGTAGTTTTGAGAGATACAAGTATATAGTTGAAGGATATTATTTAGATTCAGAAATAACTCTTTCAATCAAAGTAAATAAAAATTATTGTAAGAAAGGGGCTGAAACTTAATTAAACCACTATGCTAGATTTTTATTTTCTCCATCCATTTTTTTTTTTAAACCAAATTCTGTTTGACCTGAGAAAAACCATTTATCAGGCTCTTATTTTGAAATGTACAGATGCTGATTTTGATAACTTAGGTAGAGATAAACAATGTAATGTTCTGGTAAAATATGGGGTACAGATTAAGTGACTCAAAAGGGAAGATTACTTGTGAAATGGAAGTATAAAAACATCAGTTTCTTAAAATTTTTAAGGCATTACTTTATGATATTAAAGTATTTACCTTTTGCCTCTTAACTAAGACAAATAGCTTTGAAGAGGCACTATTAGAGAACAATCACTTGAAAATTAATTGAGTGATGACAGATAAAATTTTTTAATTGTTTAAATGTATTTGTTAAGTTCTAATGGAGAAAGGTATATTTTTAAAATGGGAAACCCCTTTTAAAGCAATATATTTATGTGATATTCTTTAGCTTTTTGGATAAAACTGCACCTTTAAAAGCTAACCAATTGGTGTACAAATGAATGATTATATAACCACAATCTTCAGTCACTTTACCTCTAAAATATGTCTGCTTTTAGTATTAAAGTATATTCGACTTTTATTAGTCTTAGAGTTACCCATGTTAATACATTTCAGTTTTTCTACATTTGCTGTTGATTTTCTAAGACAGCAAACCATATCCTTAAAGGTGTTTCTTTCTTTATTAGAACACTTGCTTTCAAAGAGTGGCGGGGACTGCACTTTTATTCATCAGTTCATAGAATGCCAGAGTGAGTACAGAGTATTTTTCACATTGATTTTAATGAAGTCAGGGGCTAAAATTAAAAAGTGAGTGGAATAATGAGGATCTCAATGTGTTTGTTGTAGAAGAAGTGTACAAAGGGCCATCTTCAGACAGCAGCGAACCGTTTCATACTATTTCTATTTCTCTCTTTGGAGAAAAATATTTCTGTTACATTTGGCTTCATAGATGGAGCTGAGCATTTTATATTAGCCTCCCCCCCCCAAAAAAAAAAAAAAAAAAAAAGGGGGGTTTCAAGCTTGTTAATTTTGGGGTTCTTAAATAAATTTCTTAGGTTAAATGGAGCCAAAAAATGATTACTTAGTTTGAGCACTCAGTTCTGAAGATGGTCCTCAGAGTAGCATGAGCTTTCTAGGGAGGGAGTAGCAGTAGATTTTTCTGAAATCTGATCTCAGCTACCTACCCTTGGGAAATTATACAGGACTATCTTTAAGAATATTTTAGAAGGCTTGGCACAGTGGCTCAGCCTGTAATCCCAGTATTTTGGGAGGCCAAGGTGAGAAGATTGCCTGAGCCCAAGGGTTCAAGACCAGCCTGGTCAACTTGGAAAGACCTCGTCTCTACAATAAATCATAAAAACTAGCCAGGCGTGGTGGCATGCGTCTGTAGTCCCAGCTACTTGGAAGGCTGAGGCGAAAGGATTACCTAAGCCCACAGGTCGAGGCTGCGGTGGCTGTGAGCGTGCCACTGCACTCCAGCCTGGGTGACAGAGTGAGATTCCAAAAAAAAGAAAGAAAGAATATTTTAGAGATAGATTGGTTTTTGAGGTGATTTAGACCTCTGCTGAATTCTCAGTACAAATATCTTGAATTCCTTGTTACTTGAGAGTCATGTAGCTGCTTATATCTATAAAAATCAGAAAGTTGTGATACTCTCTTTGTCTTGTTAGTGACAAGTAAAGGTCACCATATATAGTAAAGGTTTGTTGATAACATCTGTGCTTTTTTCTGTCAGGCATACTCTTTCTCAGGCACTATTATTTTTATGTTCTCTCTCTTTTTGAAATGGGTGGTTTTCCAAGTTTATTTGCTCATAATTTTATTTAGTGAATGTGTAGACAGATGTGATTCATCCCCCCAACCTAAAACTCCAGGAGCACTTGGGATCTGTAAGGGTCATACCTGGCGATTATAGCAGATACATTCAACAGATGAAATGTTAATGAGGAGGGAACCCAAGCAAACCAGAATTTATTTATTTAAAAGTGTGTATTATTCTTTCATGTTTAAATTTCAGCCGCCTCCGCTGCTCAAAACGGTTTTTGAGTTTGACAATTTGGGTGCCTTTTAGTGCTTCTGCCATTTTTTGTTTCACCTTTTCCCCATCTGCAGAACATTTCCCTTTGAGGATGTTTTTCATCTAGGGAAACAAAAAAAAGTTGTTCGGAGCGAGATGGGGTGAATAAGAAGGGTGGGGCATGGGATCATGCCATTTTTAGTCAAAAACTGCTGAACATTCAGTGTAGCGTGAGCAGGTGTGTTGTCATGGTAGAAGAACTAGGCACCTCTTTGCCACAACTAAGGACATTTCTTTTGCAAATTGTGATGCAGCCATTTCAAAACTTCCAGACAGAAACTTTGGTTGACTATTTGATCTGAAGGAACAAATTCCAAGTGGTACTACAAGGGGCCTGCCCTCTAAGAGAATTTTGGGTTTTTTTTGGGGGGAGCCCCTCATACTTCTTAGAGATCCTCCAAAATCATTTCCATTCATAATAGATTGAAGAGCTTCTGTTTTGGCAGCTTTAGCTACTCTGATATCAAGTGTAAGAGTTTGGTTTGGTTTAGTTTTTTGAGTTGGAATCTCTCACACTGTCATCCAGGCTAGAATGCAGTGGCATGTTCACAGCCTCGACCTGCTGGACTCAGACGATCCTTCTACCTCAGCCTTCCAAGTAGATGGTACTACAGGCGTGCACCACCACGCCTGGCTAATTTTTTGATTATTGTAGAGATGAGGTCTCACCAAGATGCCTAGACTGCTCTCAAACCCCTGGGCTCAGGCAATCCTCTCACCTCAGCCTTCCAAAATGCTGGGATTATAGGCGTGAGCCACTGCGCTCAGCAAGTGTAAGTTTACTATTACTTTGAGACAATTTATTTAATAAATATGGCATATTCCTTTGTCGTCTGTCCTTTTTGCAAATTGACTTTCCCCTTTAAAGTCTTTGTCCTTTTAAAACAGTATTTATAGGCCAGGCGCGGTAGCTCACACCTATAATCCCAGCACTTTGGGATTGCCTGAGCCTATGGGTTCAAGACCAGCCTGCAAAACTTGGTGAGACATCATCTCTACAATAAATAAAAAAAAAATTAGCGGGCATGGTGGTGCGTGCCTGTCCTTCCAGCTACTTGGAAGACTGAGGCGGAAGGATCACCTAAGCCCAGCAGGTCGAGGCTGCAGTGACCATGAGCGTGCCACTGCACTCCAGCCTGGACGACAGAGTGAGACTCCAACTAAAAAAAAATAACAATAAAAATAAAACAATATTTATAAAGCAAAGATTGGTGCACCTTTTTACTTTCTAATGACTAAATCTCACTTTTATGGGAAACTGGCACAGGGATTTTGAACAAAATAATAGTTATTCACAGAAATCAACTAAAAGGACATATAATCTACAGTACAAAACTTTAGAAGAAGTATTTTGTACTTACTTTTATTACATGTGATCATTCTTTGATTTTTTTTTTTTTTTGAACTTTTGGAACTTATATTTTGAGCCCAAAGAAATAACTTCTGGGTGCAGTGACTCACGTCTGTAATCCCAGCACCTTGCGAGGCTGAAGCAAGAGGATTGCCTGAGCCCAAGGGTTTGAGACCAGCCTGAACAATATAGCGAGACCTTGTCTCTACACTAAATCAAAAAATTAGCCAGGTATAATGGTACGTGCCTGGAGTTCTAGCTACTTGTAAGGCTGAGATGGAAGGATTGCCTAAGCCCAGCAGGTTGAGGCTGCAGTGCCTGTGATCATGCCACTGCACTCCAGCTTGGGCAACAAACTGACTCAAAAAAAAAAGAAGAAGAAGAAATAAGAACAGGCAGTTACCAGAATGATGTTACTCAGTTACAGTTTGCAAAACTCCTTTTACTTTGTTCTTGTTACTTGTTTACTGAAAAAAAAAGGCTACCTACTCAGGAGGTTGAGGCAGCAGGTATGCTTGAGCCTAGGAATTCAAGTCCAACTGTGGCAATGTAGCAAGACCTCCATCTCATTTAAAAAAAAAGCTTTAAAATTTTTAATGTCTTTTTTTGTTATTGAACATTTCATCTTAGCTATAGATGTAACACAGAATGATGGAATAATGTTTGTTTTAAATAGAGGATCACTGTTTGGAGACTTTTTTTTTTTGAGTTGGAGTCTCACTCTGTCGCTCAGATTGGAGTGCAGTGGCCGCTCCCGGCCACCGCAGCCTCAACCTGCTGGGCTCTGGCGATCCTTCCGCCTCAGCCTTCCAAGTAGCCGGAATTACAGGCATGCGCTACCATGCCCAGCTAATTTTTTTGATTTATTGTAGAGATGAGGTCTTGCTGCCCAGGCAGGTCTCGAACCCGCGGGCTCAAGCAATCCACTCACCTCAGCCTCCCAAAGGCGCGGGATTACAGGCTGAGCCACTGAGCCCGGCTGTTTGGAGACTTTTATTGCATTATAGTTACAGTAAATTCCATCATTGGGAATATTAGACAGCTAATAAAATGATGTGTATGAGAACTGTTTAATAATATGGGAAAATATTAAACATGTGGTACATAGAATTAAAAAAATCAAAATAGAAAGTCTCATTTTTGTGTATAGAAGGTGGACCAAAATACAAGTATACCCAGACATCTGAGTCCATTTGGTCCGTGAGATCAAATAGAGATAGTTAGACTCTAAGTTTAGGTAGCTAGGGAGAGGCCTATTAATGGAATCTGTTTGGTTTCTGAGTATCAGGTGGCAAGTAGTTTGGTTATTGATGATTCTAATTGTATCTCAAAATTTCCCAAATCTGTTTCGTTTCTTACCTTTGATTAGCCAGTGTTGGGAAAGTGAGGGTTGCCTCTGGTTTATTTTGTTTTCAGAAGGGACATTTCATTACTTTATGACACACTGCCATTGTGTAAACTATTGTTTAATAAGTGGTGTTACAAGAAAGGCAAATTCAGCAAGCATATTTCTCAAATGAATTTATAATCAATCACTTTTAAAATAATGTTGGATTACATATTTGTTAACAAGCACACACAAACTTTTTTGCCATTACTCTTACTGATAGGCATCTTAAACTGATTTATAATCATGACCACAAAATATATTCTGTGTGCAGTGGTACTTCCTAGTCTTGTTTCTAGTTTTTTAAAAAGCAAATGTTAAATATCTCGCCTTTCTTATTTACTCGTGCTTGCATAATATAAATTCATCTTGTGATTAAAATATTAGAAACCAAATAGTTTATTTCCATATTGTTCTTCATGTCTATCTTTAATATATTGGCAGATCTTTTAATTTATGAGTATGAATCCATAAGAGAAAATTTGGTTGTTGACTCTTTCCATTTAGAAGGTGATTTTATAGAAAATAAATGTGTCGGAATACATTTCAATTTGTTTTCCTTTTATGATAATACAGGCTTTAAAAAAAAAAAACTTTTTAGAGAAAAACTTTCAATCCCAGGCAAAGAGATTGGACTTTGAACCGATTTAAATATAATGTTTTGTATAATTTCAGAACTGCAAAGTAAATATTCTGTATAAAAAGATCCCACCACATACAGTCTAGAATTAGCAAGTAATTTCAGTAAAACTTGCTTAAAAAGCTTTTGCAATATTTTCTTCTTCAGGCATTCAGACATGAGCTTGGCTTAGGCAGAACTCCATATTCCTTGTTCACTGCAAATTTTAGTTACTTAAGGTTTACCATATAAACTTAATGGATGCATTGAGACATTTGTGTTCTGCTAAAGATGCTTTCTGAGTAAACAAATTGT